CAGAGCAGTAAATTCAACATTTCTGCTTCTATGGTTAATTAACCATAGTATAGATGTGACACAGCAAGCAGTGAGAATGTTTATAGGCAAAGAAGGGATTAAGGAAAGGAAGGAAGATTAAAAAAAAAAAGGGGGGGGGGGGGGCAGGAAGGGGGCATGACTAAAGTCTAAACACAATCCAGAGTAAAAGGAGTAACAACCATGAGCTTTCAAAGCCATGTAAATATTAGTTGGAGGTAGAAATCACTTTAACATAGAACAGGAGAATATATAATGAGGTGTTAACACATTCTAGTCATGATGGTTTTATGCTATAAGTTTCATCGGAGTACAAAATAAAAGATTGATCTGTGTTCAGAAAGATTTGACTTAATTTTTTCTTGATGCTGCAACTGAAATTTGATTTCAAATGGGCAATCTTGTAAACAGGGAAAGGGAGAGCTTTTTCATTTGCTTACAGTACCCATGTAGTTTTCTTCCTGTTCTGGCACAGATAGACATGAACATCTTTAAAATCCTGTGCTAAAACCACTGGGTTTTTAAAGGTAAGTATGTATGATTTCAATGTGTCAAAATTCACTTATCTTCAGAAGCATAAGCAAGACAGGGTTTGTGGGCAGAGACCACCCCTTTTATTAAACCAATTAATGCAATTAGAAAGCATCTATCAATATTTTGTTGCTACTTAAAGCATGGTTGTTTTGGGGTTGGTTGGGTTTGGTTTTTCTTTTATTATTTATTTTGTGTTCAGTACCATTTCAAGATTATTTGGCCTTACCTCAGAAGGTTCATTTGACTACTTACTTGAGCTGTTTCATTTTAGCAGTGATTCCCTAGCTTCTGCACTGTTCGTTAGTAAATAAGCTCAACAACCTAAGCAGTTGTAAGACTGAATATTTATGGGATTTCCCTTCTGACCATCTTATGGTATGAGGAAAAGCGAATTTTATCTAGCTGCATCTGTCTGTGTTCGCACTGTTTCAAAATTCTCATTACAGATCAATTAGTTTGGGTTTGAGCCTTTTGGATTTAGGGCCATAGGTTTAATGAAAAGAAAATGAGCAGGTAGCAGTATTATTTCATATGAAGACAAAGAGAGACTGAGCATGAATGAGGATCTCAAGACATCTGAGTAAAGAATTTTCTTGTGCTGTCAGTAAAGATTTTGGGGATATGGAAGGAGGATTATAGGAATATTCATGACCAGATCAAGAGGCATGAGTTGATGTATGAACCAGCTTATCTTTTAGGTAAACAAGGGGTAAATGGGAAGTAGAATAGCCATTCATTGCCCCTAGGCCTGTGAATTTTACTCTTCTAAAGATGGAAACAAGGGGTTAGTTACAGTTATTCTTCATTGATTTAATTTGATTTTTGATCATGGTCTGATGGGTGCTGGAAGAGTTACGTATTTGTGACTTCAGGTCTGCATTAAAACTACCAAAGACCATATCATCTTTCTAGAATCCAGTGTGTAAGCCATAGTATATATTTAAACTTCTGCAGTGCCATATAAAAAGAGTGTAGTACTTCAACAGCCTTCCTTGATACTGGAACATTGTATAATGATGCTGTGGTAGTTCAACCTGTTACAAAAATAATTTGCCAGCAAGCTAAGTGCTTTTATTCCATTTCTGGCTTGTTCATGGAAAAGCACAGTACCACAAAACTAGAGCAACAGGTCACCATTGTCTATCCCTTAATATAATTACATAGTAAGTATTCTTATCTGAAATCTAAATAATGTTCTGGGTTTGGCATGTTGATACATCTTCCTCAAAACAGAAGGCACTGTAATTTACAAGTGTAAGTCACTGATATTTTGATCTAGGTGTCAATCAAAACCCTGCAAATATGGGGACACAGTTTATGCATTTCACAGGGAACTTGCCTAAATAAAGATCTTACTCTTGAATTGTAACAACCAATTGTTGTTCCAAATGCAGTGTCACATGATGCTGATGAAACTATGGGCAGTTATTCTAGATTTGCAGACCCTGCACTTGCACCCATTAGGAAAGTTCTGCCTAAACATTTGTATTTACTGGTTTATTAAGATTAGTGTTGTGTAAATGCATATCTCTGCCATTAGCCTATTGAAAAAGTAAACCTAGTTTATCAGATTTCTCTCTGCTACAGAATAGACTTGTAGGAAAATGTAACAGGTTGGCTGGGGTGTGCTGAGGCTTTACTACTGCTAAGAATACAAGGCATAGCATGAATAATTGCAGCTACTTGGCAGTCATTGTAACTTTTCTAAGAATAGTCAGCATGTTTTTTCAAAGCATTAAATTACCTCAAGATCTCATAATTATTATAGTTAAGCAATCATTTCTATTCAGTCCAAGTATAAAAACTAATAAAATGCTCATAATATTGAGTCAATTTTAGTATGTCTGTTCTCTGAGCAAACACAGCTGATTCAGTATATTCTGGTGGAATACATATTTGATATCCTGTTATTTTAATATGCCCTAATCAGAAAATTAAAATAGATTTTGTTGGCACAGACCCTTTTTTTTTTTTTTTTTAAGCGTGAAATAATAATTACAGATTTTTGCTGATGCTCTGAATTTTCAGGACTGGAATATTTCATTAGCTAAGAGGTTGAGAAGGGAAAATATTTGCATTTAATACTGCTAAATCTGTCTGCTTTCACTGAGTAATGGCTTGATCAATACAAAGAACATACTTGGGGAAAGCATGTAGCAATTACAAAAAAAAAAGAAAGTAAAAAATAAAGCTATTGAAAGGACAACATGAAGAGATCTTTTGGGTCGCGAGATCTAATTTCCCGTTACTACTGACAGTTTGGCAATTTTGGAGAGCAAGGACCAGGATTAGTAATTTCCAAAAATAATGTCAAGTTTCTCCAAGATACAAAGATGTTATTTCAAAGGTTAATTTTGTAAACATAAATAGAGCATCAGTATTGGAAGCCAAGTTAAGTAGTTGCCTAAATAAATGCCATGTAATTAATGTTTTCATTACACAAGATACTTGTATACTGACACACAAACGGTACTTCTTTTTATTCTTTTAAAAAGTAATGAAAACACTTTGAATGTGCTTAGTAAGGAGAAGTGATCGTGGGGCTACTTTTTTTTTTGCTGGCAGCTTTCAAATATTCTCTCTTCTCAACTGAATCACGGACTTTTTATTTTAATATTTTTTCTGGCAAAAAGCAACTACTGCTGTTTCTGAACTTCCAAGATACTGCTTTTGTCCTCACACTGACTGTAATCTTAATTGAATATCCAAGTACTTTAAAAAAAAAAAAACAAAAACAAACAAACAAAAAAAAAACCACAAAATCAGCTGGAATTCAAGAAAGTTCCTCGGTGCTTTCTTTAGGACACGGAGTGTGATTCAACCTCACTGTATGTCTGTGTTTGTTCAGGGGACGCTGAAGTGTTGAAAGGATAAGTGGGCTTGCCCTTAATCATCTAAGAATTGGGTGACGAAGAAGCTTGAGATTTCTTCATCCTCATGCAGGCCACTTTCCATATTTTATTTCACATGCTAGCTAAAATTCTCTACTTCTGTTAGAACAGGGCTACAGAGTTTTGTTGAGTTATTGTCATCATTACTATTGTAATTATTCTAAAATTATTTCATAGAAGTATTTCATAAACTGTGGGATAGTAATTTTTTCCTAGATGGATCTTTTAGTTCCCTTGGCTACATTCTTAGAGCATTCTCTTTGGAGGTAACTTTTTTGTTCCACTCATGCTTATGTATCCTATTTAAGGCTGTTTTATTTTTCTTTCTGCTCTACTCTTGTTTCAGCTCAGCACAGCATGTTTATAACACATGGTATTGCTAAAGAAAAGAAACCGTTAATAAAAGACAAAAAAAAACCCTCAAACCTTGTATCTCATACATGGGAACATACAGCATTAATCCAGTAGTATTTTTAATTGGGGGGTGGGGGGGGGGATTATCTGTGTTTATGTTCGTCTAGCTTATTTTTGTCTGTCCTACTGCTCTCTCCCTGTTCCTTCATGTCTCTGAAGTGTGTTTTCCATGGCCATAATCACACACAGAAGAAGCTTCAAATGAGGATGTGGTGAGAGAGAAGCAGGAAATCTTGCAGGCACTGGATTCCAGCTATGTTCTAAATTTTGCTTCATAGGCAATTTAATATATCAAATAGGTTGTATGATGACAAGCGTTACATGGAATTGAGAAAAGAGTGGAAAAAATGCCTAAACCTCTGAATTTTTCCCAGTCAATGTTGCCTTTTCAGTCTTAGTAACTATTTGTAATTGTGTTCAGATTGTATTTTTGTAGTGAAATAAGCTCCCAGCTGTAGTATTTCTATAAAGTAAGATTCTGCCCCCATCTATCTGGTTACCACTGAAATGCAAGAAAATAAAATGGAAGTTTTAAACATTCTTAACGTTGTGTGTGCCCTTTTGAATAGGTGTATTTTGAATACTGACATTTGGTTCCCTGAAATTTGCTGCTCAAAAAGAACTAGCTTTCAGTTCTTTTTAGAATTTTTAGTGGTGTTTGCAACGCTTGCTGTGGAGAATAAGGATATTTGGTTAAAAGAGAAAGGGATTAGTAGGAGTTATTCAAAAGATACCAACTCCCTACATGTAGCAGGTGTACAGTAGTTCTGCTGTGCATGATCTAATGAAAATTAGAGGTTTACAAAATAGAACGTCTCTAGCTTTGGATTGCTTTGGTAAATTTTTTATTTATTAAATTAACATAGTAATCATAGTGTTTTTCAAAAAGGGCAAGATTTTTTTTTATTCTGCTCTAGAAAAATGTTCTAAATCTTAGTAATTCAGTAACAATACATAGGGTAATATTGACAATAGCATTGAGTTTTGTTCATGTTTGCAAATTTAAGGGTTTGGGGGGGGGATATTTGTTAGGGGATTTTTGTTTGGGGTTGGTTTTGTTTGGTTTCGGTTTTTGTTTTCTTTCTGGGCATGTCCTCAATTAAGTAATAGGTATTTGAAAAATGACCTCTTTAATTCCTTCAGAAAAAGTTCGGGAGATCCAGGAAAAGCTTGAAGCCTTCATAGAAGCCCTCCACCAAGAAAAGTAGATTATTCAAGCAGGTAATTGTGTGTCGACCATAAAAAGGTTGCCACAATTTTCTTCGTGCTCAGTATAAAATGATTATCCATTTCTGTTAGGTGCACATGTTTTCATACAGACTTTGTGAAAATTTCATTTTTAATTATTCCGGAGCCTGACTGCTGCTGCTGCTTTTCACTTTTTATCTGCAGATCTGTACTTCCATCTCTTAACACAGACTTTCTAAACTTAATAGAAATACAGTTACTGTCTAGTTATTCAGATATTGCGAAACACCATAAGCTATTTGATTACTCTCAGTTCATTATTTTTAAATCTGTTAAGAGAAAGAGGCATAACTAGCTGGAATCAAAAATTAGGGAACACTTGTCAATAAATGCGTTTTGATTTTTTTTTCCTTAAAGGCAGTGTGTATTATTAGCAAAAATATTTGCATTATTTCCAACCTTTTCTTCTATATTAATTCTCCAAAACATAAGCCTAAATGCTGTCATGTATTTGCACACATCTTAAAATTACCTCGTTTCTGTTTCAACAGCCACTTTACACAGGAGCGCAGCCTTTTCCAGGTTATCTTGCACAAAGAAGACTGAATAGAAATGGCTTTTGTATCCCATTCTCTTTCCTGTCTTTTGGAGAGCATCATGAGATGTTGCAGGAGAAAGAAAATAATGTCTCATGGGATTGAGAAGTTCAGTGAAAATCCACCTGCTCTTTTAATTTTTGAAGCTATGTGCACATGACAGAAGAATCTGACTTGTGTGTCAATGAGATAGCTTGGGAGCTTGCTGAAGTTGTATAATGAGGGGTTTTTTTTTGACCTGAAAGTTAAAAAAGCTTTTATTTTCAACATCTGTCTTGTATGTTTGAGCTGGATGAGATTCCTAAAGTTATTTTACCTATTGTCATTTTCTTGCCTGCAAACGATCCTGCCAGTTTGACATAAAGTTTTAGTATTTGTATGTACATTAAAACACCCTTCTAAGTGATGCCATTTCTATTTGTTGTATGCTCTGTGTTGAAGCATTCTCTGATCACCCTGGTACAGATTTAAAAGCATGAAATAGAGATCTTGAGAGGAAGTTGTGGATTTTGTTAAACTCCTAAACTCTTGAGGCAGGCACATCATCCAAGGAATACTTGTGCTTTCAAGTGAAAGTACAGACTGCTATTCACTGACACCTTAAAAGGTTTGGCTCAGGAAACAATGTCAATAGCTGCTTCTTTTACCCTTTCCTTCCCAATATATGTTGTTACTCTGGAATCATAGCTGATTACATTTCATTTCTGGGATTGCAGACTCTTAATTTCCTTGTTAACTCCTCCTTTCGCCATAGCTAGAAAGTAACCTGATTGAGTACATATTAAATGTAGAAAGATACTTTGTAGAATTCCAAGTCATTCAACCTTCTTAACTCAAAAAGGAAGAATGCAGTTAATCTCATTTTTGTAATAGCTACTCTAAGACCAAAATCACTTCTGTAAGAATGTTACGCACAAGGTCCTTCCACACCAATTTGTTTTCTATCATTCAGTATAGTAAAAAAACAGTAAGTAGTCTTACTGCCTTTCAGTTTTGCTGTAGAAATGCCCCTCCTGCCAAATTTAGTATGATACAGGCTCTGTATCATAGGTGCCTGGTGATTAATCACCACCATTTTTTTTCTGTCCACAAATGATCTGGACACACTTCTGAGGAAGAAGACACTAGGCCTGAAACAGTTTGTTTTGCAGTTGTCTGATTATGTATATAGGAAAATGTACTTAGGTTTATTTTTCTCTTTTGAAAAGCTATTGATTCTGATGTGTGCAATTAAAGGTGAGAAATCTGAACATTTTTCAACATACACTCTTTCCGTTTGCTCTCAGAAGAGACAATACAAAATTTGGTGAGATGTTCCCCAAATGTTCAGGAATAAAATCTTTAGTCAAGTGGACAAAAATTCAGTGTAGAGTTATTCATAAAATGCTGTTGAAAGGTTAAATATTTCAAGGTGATCTAACAATGTTTAAAATTACTTCCTGAAAATGAGTGCTTGAGAACAGAAAAATGAAAAAATGTCTTGTGTTATCATCATTCTCTGAAGATAACTTCAGAAATGTAAGTTTGCGTAATTATGAAGGCAGAGTCCTTCGGTTGTATAGCAAACCCCAACAACAAAAAAAACATACAAAAAACCCCACAACCCGACAAAAACAAAAAGCCACCCAACCCAAAACCAACAAAAAAGAACTATTGTATTTGCCTAAAGATCACTGTTTGAAAATTGTGTAATGTAAATATTGCAGAATGTCTCATACAGTGGCCCATTGTTCATCTCTTTTAGTGTGCTGTTCCTACAGTTTTTCTTCTGACTTCTCTGTGCTGCTCATCTAAGACTTAGCATGATGTATTCCATTAAAACGAGGTATTTATTGAATAAAAATGTAACTGAAGGAATAATAAAAATGTGGGATTTGAACACAATATTTCACCAGATTCAGAAATTACTTTAGCCTATTTCTCATTTGTTAAATTGTGACAAAGTACGCTATTAGTGATATTAAAATGCCTGATTCAGAAATGCTGTGTCAGCACCAAGTTAGTGGTAACTTTACTCTTATCTTTTGCTATATAAATTAATGGTTGCCTTACCATTTATGTAATACATTTAGTCAAAGGGGTCTTATGAAAATCATTATGTTGAAAGCTGTGTCTCTGGAAGTTCAGACATGTCTCTGGAGGTTTAGACAATTGTTGAAAGTATAAATGAAGGCTGTTGTGGAGTGTTACTTTTAGATGCATTTAAAACAAACATGCTTACTGGGACAGGGGGTTTGAGAGCTATAGAGCAATCAGCTTACCAACCCATGAGTTCAGTGTATCTTTTAGTTGAAGAAAAATTTTACAAAATTAATTAAAAAAATTCTCTGTAAAGCTCTGATATTGAAGATGCTGCATATGTGCTCCACAAAGCTTAAAATGCAGACCTGGACATGTTAGGATCAGTGAAGGGTTGTAACAATATTAACTTCATTAAACATGATTAAACTAAACAAAAATGGTCTTGTTAAATAAGTAAGGTAATTTTATGCTTTTTTTTTTTTCAGGATTTTATGTTAAGGTTAGAACAAGGAAGAGTTACAGGAAGCTGTGCTTATCTCACTAGTAAGTTAGCATTGCTTAAGTAAAAATGGGCTTAATGTGTGCTATTAGTTGGTGGCTTCAGAATTGGTCCTTGTAAGGAGTTTCTCGCTGGTTAGATGTAGTTACATTAAGCAGCATAAGAAGGATGTGATGACTAGTGCAGTAATTTTTAGATGGTAAAAAGTTACTTGAGCTGTCTCTAAAATTTATGTGATACTGAAAAGTATGTAATTTCAAACTGGTTTGCATAAGTTTGCATAATTTTTCTGTGTTACATATACTACCTTCAGATTCTGCATTAAGCAGTTTATTGTAAGGAACAAAGACTAATCCATAACTTCTGTGGCTTTTTGAGGTTAGGGAGGGGATCAGCAAATGCAAGTATAATTATTCCATAAATAGATATTTCATTTCCTAAGCATGTTCTTTACTATCATGTAGATATGGTATTTGCAAATTGTAATAGTATCATAGCATCCTGTCATTCAGTAACGCAAAAAAGGATGTTGATTTTCACATGATCCAGAGCAATCCATGAAATGAGTTGTGAATGAGCCAAGGTTTAATTATTAATGGCCAAGGATTTTTCTGTCACTTCTTCATGAAAAAGGTACAAGTGGTGCTTTTTCAAGTTTGAAAATTACCCTTTATGAGCAGCTACTACTAAACAGGTTTATCTAAGTTATCAGACCAAAAGAGAGATGAAAAACTTGGAAATCTGTCAAAGTGTCAAAAGCAAGCATAGTTAAATTAGAGGGTGAAAATGTGAAATTTGTAGCCATTACAAACATACTGGTATGCACTATTTCACCATCAAGGATATATGAATCAGGTTTTTTGAGTATGTTTTGAATCTAAACTGAGTTATGATGTATTTCCAAATCTAAAGTTTAGTGAATTTAATTTTCTTATACCTTAAATGTAACTTAGTAACTCTCAACAGTCATATTAAAAAATAAGCAAGAGATTTCATCACTTCAGTTGGGAAATACTGAAATACGGCATCCCTAGGTCTGACCCAGGGCTTCTTGAAGGGTTCTGTTCTGTGGAGATTTGGTCCTGGAGATGTCTGTAGGATATTTTTACGTCAGGTAAGATGTTGCTATATGAACTCAGTCTGTGATGATATCTCTGTTTTTGCAGAGTTGCAGAATGAGTTTTCTTTGACTATTTGGAATGTGATTCTAGGTCTTGAGGTACTTCGAAAAATGTTCCAGTCATACTTCCTCACTACATAGGATGCCCTTGCAGTGACTTGCAGTCTCCAAGTTACTTGTTTATATTAGTTTAGTTTATGTCAGTTTAGAGCTATTTTATCCTCTTCTATTTTGTAATTAGTTCAGTAAGCCATCTTCCTTTTCATTCAGTAAGGTAAAATGCATTTTAAAGCCCTTGCAAGACATATGTAGTCATGCAACTCTGAAAGCTGAGGTTTGTCAAAAATGCTGTATGTTCTGTATGGCTGTGATCACAGACTTTTTACAGAACAAGGCTGTTACCAAGGATTTTTTAGTATAAAATACTACACAGAAACAAAGGGAAGAACCTGAAAGGATATAGAGATTGTAATGGTTGTTCATGCTGCAGTGCTGGAATGAAAAACCTTTGTAGACTTCTGTGTACACAAATCTTGCATCTGCTGTCACCTCAGTGCTGTAGCACATCAGAAGGTGAAATTATCAAAACTGTTGTTCTGTAAGAAATGCTAAAAATCACAGGCATGATTCTAGTTTTGACTGTAGAAGTGATTCAGAAAATGGTCCTGAAAGTGCTGCTGGAATGGCTTGTGAAAGAACTCTAGAGCCAACCTCGGGAACTGTTCTAAAACATTTCTGAAATTGCATCTAGGTAAGTTTCCTGGGTTGGTGCTGTCAGTCAGTGGGGAAATATTTCCAGAAGTGGCTCTAGAAGTGATTGTGGCAATAAAGCAGAGTGCTTAGTCTAGCAGCTATTGTAGTGATTCTCACATTGACTCTCAGTTGGGTTCTAGGCATGGTTCCGGAGATGAATCCAGAAATAAACCTGACATTGACTGTGGGACTGATTTCTGGAATTGACTGTAGGTGCTGTTCTAGAGGCAATTCCAGAAGTATTCCTAGCCATTTCTCTTGAAAAGCTGATTACTGTGCATAGCTAGAACTGGTTCTGTTTGTGATTGTATAGAACTGATAAAAAAGCTGTTCATTTGCTGCTGTTGGAAGTCCATAGGGTCTAAGAGTGCTTCTAGAGCAGTGTGTCCTAACCTGTGTGGTGATTGCACATTCTGACTTCAAAAATGATTTCTGAACTTTGATTCGTGACAGCCCACAAGATGAGCTTTGTTCAAGTTTTTCACCCAAAGGACAACAATGAACTCTTTGAAGGTTAATCAGTGGTATATTTATTGGATTATAAGATTCCTAATATAGGGGAAGATGTGAAGTTTGAATTTAAAGGGTATTTTATAATAAGTTTTATAACAGAAATAATGTAAGAATTCTATCCTTTTTAACATTTTAGGCACTTTCTTTTTTTACCCAGGAAAGAGCTGAGCATCACTGGGCAAGACTGGCAGCTGCCACGTCCTTAGAACTGCAAGGGACAGGCACATTCTGGTTGTGCTCTATTACAGTCAGCCTTACCATCTAGCCTCGTGAAATAAGTGTTAAGGTAACAGTATGCCCCCTATGCTATGATAACATTTGAAACACTATTTGCCTCATCTCCACAAGCCGATTGCCTTTGGGTTTTGATGTTTAGAGATGGAACATTCATTGCAACCTTTCTTACAATGAGTCTGTTCTGGATCATGTGAAAATCAACATCCTTTTTTGTGTTGCTGCCTGACAGGATGCTACAATACTATTAGCATTTGCAAAGAGTTTGCTGTGTCTGATAGTGCAACCCCCAGATCACAGGCTGCTCAGTTTATGTTTCTCTATTATGTGAAAGACACAAAGAAGCTGAAGGCTGGCAAAGGCCTGTCAAATCTTGTAATGTAGCGAGCGACCCCAGAGCTTCATTCTGCTTTATATCATCCCTTGTTCTCCATCCCACCCCTTTCCTTGAATGGGCTCTGAGGTAGGTAAATGAATTCAGTGGTATGGTAGGCAGATGATTCCTTTCTGACCTCATTCCTGTACCATTTGTTTCCAGGCTTGTTAGAGGGAAAGGATATATCTGAACCTTTTGTTTCAAATAATTTTCTTGCAGGTTGGGGAGTTAATGCAGACCTTGTCTGAACTCACCCAAGCAGAAACTGTTCTGGGTACAAGTCATGACACGCTTGGTCCCTTGGAATTGCCAGATTAAAGGAGAAAGCAGTGAATTGGAATTCTTTCACATTTGGCATTCCTTAAACACCTGGATACTTTTTTTTTTTTTCCCCCCTCACGTGCATGTGTTTGTATCCTCCCTCATGCCTTGAAACATCTGTCTTAAGAGCAGTCAAGAAGCAGAGAAAGAAAACCTTTGAACAGTCCAGTGTTAGTTTTTCAGTTGAGGCTGAAGCCAAGTAGAGCATATGCTGAAAAACAGTGGATTGCAAAGTGGTATTTCAGACCTATGTCTGAAATTGTCAGAGCACTTCTTAGGTTTGAAGAAAGTTAAGTCTCGTTTGTTAGGGATTAATTGATCTTGGATCATGTGTTTGATGGGAAGGAAATCAATGGTTTCTCATATACCAGGCCTGAATCATTGGAGCAATGAGATCTTTCAGACTAGTTTCCAGAGCTATGCATCCTTGAAGATACTTTTGTAGAAGGAAGACTGGAGGCATGTGATCAGTAGCAAAATGTGAGGTGTATAATATCACCATAGCTACCCTGCGTAGTCATACCCTGCATTTGCTCTCTATGCTGTCAATGCCATGATGTTTGGCAGGTTGTTCTTACCTCCTGCGTAATGGATTCCTAAGGTATCAAACAACACAGAAATACTACTGCTTCCAGGTTTTCATTGTACATAACAGTAAGTTTGCAGTATCCAAAGTGTAAAATCATAAGTAAACCAGAACAGGAGCTAAACAACATTATTTCACTCTCAGTATTCATGGAGGTGTTCTGCTGAAATGTTCTGGATAACTTGAACTGCACAGCAGCATACATCTTGTAGGAAGATGGGAGATGCACAACACCTCCACCTACTTAGCCCAGTAGAAATGCAGTGAGAGGCCTGTTTATCGTTTGGGCTCGTCGCTTTGTGTTGCGTGTATACTTCACAGAAGACTTCCATAAGATAGAGCAGACACCAGGGTGGATCTGCAAGACCATCAGGCTTCAACTGATACGGAAGACACAAAGGGGATGAAAGAGAATGGTCATAATACAGGTAAGGGTGTTGCCTTAAAAAAATGTAGATACATTCATGACTTTATGTTGTGGGAGTGTAGCTTAAATATGCAGACATAAGGGATATTGTCTATCATACTTATGCCTATGCATATTAATGTATTTGCTGCATATGTGTATAGAGATACATGATAATGTTATGAAATGATGAGTAAGCAAAGAGAAAAGCCAAATTCCATATCCTGCACAGGTTCAGGGCATCCCAAAGCATGATCATGCTTCATTTGTGATTCCTCTGTAGTATGTGTATGTCTCAGGTGGGAGATGAGTTCATCAGCAGCTGTAATCTCAAACTCACCTAATCTGAAAACTCTTCGCATGTGCAAATTATTTTGTAGTTTAGGACTAATTATGGACTAAATATTTCATCCAGACAGAATAGCTTCCTTGCCCAACCCGCTGGGTTTCCTGCTAAAACGCTTGAGAGTTTCGCAAGGTTCCGGTACTGATATATGTATAGCCTTGTGTGAGGCCTTGCCTGCTTTCTCACAAGCAATACCAGCATGAATATTAACTGTACAAGGCCCTTTAAAAAATACGTAAGTAACTAAAAAATTGTAAATTCCTCCACCAATAACCTGGAAGGTAATGCTGTCCCTTTTGTTATTATCATGTAGCACCTCTGCTTTAAGCAGCAGACAAAAGATTCATTTTTTTATCATGGCTTTTATCTGGCAGCTTCAATCAATTAGATCTTTTTCCAAGGAAGCTTTTTTTTCAAATAAATGTTTATTTTATGGCCCAAGGTTGATTGCCACTGGACACTGTTGCCAGAAGGAAAATAGTTTCTTTTTTAAAAGGCCTTTTTGCCTCCTCTCAATTTCTGCAGAGTTCATCCCTTCAGCTGGAGGAGATAACGCTTCCTTTTTCAGTAAAAGAAAATAGTTTTCCATTGCCTGGTGTCTGAAAGTTAGGATTCCACAAAGCTTATGGAAGTACAACTAGCCATGGGTTATCTCATGAAGGTTTTTCTCTGTACACTGCTTTGTTGCATGTTTTTACACACCCTGTTTACTTGTCCTTTGCTTTTCCTGTCAGGACAACCTTCTTGCCTGTCCTCTGCCCTGTTGGCATGCAAATTACATGCACACCAGGTGACATTCTCTGGCCTGTACTGTGCTGAAGTTCAGATCAGGTGCTTTATAATAGTACTGTCTGGCTTGAAAAATAACATAGTGTAATTCACACTACAGCTCACATCCCATTTCAGGTTAGTTCCCGGTGTCTTGTTTTTAGCTACAGATGTGTAGCACGTTTTACAAAGATACCTGTATCTCAACATACATGCTATGTGTGCAAATGAAAGAACATACTGACGACTTCAGAAATCGTGACTTGCTGACTGGTTTCAGCATAGCCCAGAACAGAATTTATTTAAGTATCTGGTCTGAAAGAGAATGCTATTTATTAGGAGATGAGTAACAGAGAAGAAACATTGGAGAGTGGTTTGTGGCTGGAGGCTGTTTTGATGTGGAAACAAGGGAATATTATACCACTTGCTGAAGCTTAGAGCAGCTCCTGGAACCTCACTGAAATCAAGCTTTGTACTGAAAAGGCTTGTAGCCTGTTGGGCCAAGAGACAGGGATTACAAGAATATTCATGACTTCCAAGAATCAGCAGGTGAGACATAATGCATGCATTTGCCCCTCCCCCCTTTCCCCAGCTCATCCTTTTGGTAAACAGTTCATAAAGGCTGGGTTCCCAGAGTGACTGAACTCAGTTCCTGATCTTTTTTTTTCTCCTCTTTTTTTTCCCCTCCATTCTTTATAAAAAGGATTGCAGTGTTTCTGCCGCTTGTCCCAAGCAGAAGCACGGACTCCCCTTTTCATTTCTAAAGAGCAACTGTGTGGCTGAACCAGAAGTCTTGTGACATAACTTAAGAAAGTAGAATGGTATCTTAGCATCCAAGGCCTCTTTTAAAATGTTAAGAAAAGCCTTTCTGAGAGCTTAGATAAGCTGGAGAGGAATCTCAGTGACATATGTGCATTGTCTTAGGAAAGCATGGGTTGAAGCCAAGTGGTGGGCCTCTGCCTTTAATATACTAGGCATTTGTCATGCCTGCTTCGGTGTGCTTGCTATTTAGTAAACACCCAGTATGTAGAGTCCATGCAGTTAGAAGCAGTTGCAGTATGTGACTGATACAGGACACTGTTACAGGAGAGTGAGTGGCAGGAGATGGGTAAAGAGTATTTTTTCAGGTTTTCCCAGGTGAAGAACAAAGGCATGGTCTATAGAAGGTTTCACCGATCAAGCTTTTGCAAAATTGTCTCACTCTTTCACTGTAGTATGGGCAGCGAGGGATTCTGATCAATGCTGCTGCTGCCCCGACTGACAGGCTTTACCTGCAGGCGTGAAGTTATATGCTCGTGTCATGGGGTGGGGACAATTGTTAGCTCTTTCAGTGAAGCCTGTTTGTTGTTAGCTCTTTGGGGCCTGAAACAGTGCCTGCAGTTAACAGAAGAGGACATACTTGATTTTTGCTTTAACTCAGTGTTGCTGCATGCTTTTTCTCTGCGGAAATACGTCAGTACCGCTGGCTCTGTCATGTGATCTAGCACAAGTCCATTCTACTGGTTTGTCATTCTCCTGTACATGGACTGCAGCTGCAGATCAGTAATAAAATTATTTGTCAGTGGGAGGTGTCACAATGAATGCAAGGGAAGGGCATTTAGGCTGCTCTCAGTCCACAGCTTGTGCCACTTACCCAGGGCTGGGTGCAACTGGGGCACTAATCCTCCCTGTATCTACTCTGGTGTAAGGCAAGGATGGGTGCTTCTCCAGGTCCATCAGGATTCCCAGCAGTGATAGCCAGCCTTTCTTCCTGCACTGAGATCCAGGTGACTGAACAAAAGTGTGTTTTGTTACAAATGTACCACTTCGCCAGAATTTACTGTAGTCTGAAGCTTGCAGAACATCTTTCAATTAAGCCACAGCAATCATTCTACATTAAATGAAGATAACTTTTTTTATTTAATGTTTTCAGCCTTTTGAGGAAGGATGTTCACAGCATTTTAAATCCCCCTTGGAACTTCAGGCTGTAAGAGTTATAGTGTATCCTACAAATGATCCTACAAAACTGTTGTTACACTTGGTTTGAAAGTGTCTCAACATAGGAATGCTTGTTTGTTGTATCCTGGTAGCAGCATCCAAACAAGATTTCAACAGTTTTCTTGTTAATCTGAGTGCGACTCAACAGCACTTAGTTCTGCGGCTGGAATTTGGTCCCTAACAATTGAAACTGAACTGCTGTCTGCTCAATATAGTTTTTCTAGTAACCGATGCATCTAGGTCAACAAACTGACAGGCATTGCTCATTTTACTGCTTGGCAAATATTGAACTAAAGTCTTCAGCACTGTAACACTGTTGACAATTGCAGGATAATGGCATTGTCCTCTTTTGTTACAATGGAGTGCATCTTCGAGTCCGATTCTGGCATAACACACTCTGTAAACAACAAGGGGTGTTGTGATTTGGAGTCCCAAGTGTTTGCTTTGACAATATAAACTTACTGCCTGCTCTCTGAAACCAAACATCCTGTCTCTGCCATGGTTACTTCAAACTGATATTGAAACAAGCCACACTCTTCCTGAAAACACTGGAGGGCAATGGCATAGCTGCTGTTAAAGGAGCTCTTTTCTCTTTTTGAAAGCTATCTCTACCACCCTCCTTTATTATGCTGTAGGTCCATGTTGAGGAGTCCAGATTAGGCTTCAAGAGGCTGAAAGTGAAGAATAATACTTGGAAGAAAAAAAAATCACTGTGGATTACTGCAGTTAACACTAGTCCCTCTGGAAAGGGAATGCTGTGTTGCAAGCCTATAGGTTCTTTCTTTTCTATGACAGCATGTAAGAAGAGACAAAATGGGTATGAGCCAAAACACAACTGACAGTTCTAGTGCACATGTCCTGTTACCTGAACAGAGCCGTGCTCCTGGCCTCTTCCTTGTCCTCTCCAAAATGAAACATCCCCATGCCTTATGTGAGGTCCAGGGTCATTTCAGTCCCAGCCTCCATAGTTTCAAGTTCATAGTCTCTCCCTTCTGTTTCCCTAGGATTCCCTAGCTTGCTCGTTTGCTAATGTGAGTCATTACACTGAGTCAGACTGGAGTAATTCAGCTTTGTGCGATTCAGTAGGGACATGCCCCAGAAGAATGGTGCCATTAAGAAAGATTTTTTTCCATGCTACCTTTGGTCTTTGTTCACTTTATCATTTATTTCATATTTAGGTTAAGGGTGAAGATGCAAGCAGATCTGCCTTTCCTTTGCTTCACATATCTGCTTTCTTCTATGGTTCATCTTGCACGTGAACTGCAAGGAATCTTTATTTAGGCCAGTTTGCAGTTAAAATGTTAGAAAACCTAAATCATAGTGAATCTGTTTGAAAAGTGTCTAACTACACATTTGCAGTTGCAGTATTACATGTGAAATGTTAACCCAAATGCTGCTAGGAGGTGAATTTGCAAGAAAGAGCTTTTACAGACAGTTGGACCCTG